TTCAACATTGATAATAATCAGAAATGTTTCTTGAGCAGCAAATCAGCATATTAGAATGATTTCTGAAGATCATGTGACACTGAAGACTGGAGTAATGATGCTGAAAATACAGCTGCGCATCACAGAAATACATTACAGTTTAACAGATATTCACATAGAAAAGAGTTATTTTAAATAGTAAAAATATTTCACAATATTACTGCTTTTGCTTTGGATCAAATAAATGCAGGCTTGGTGAGCAGAAGAGGTTTCTTTTGACTGGTAGTGTGTACAGGGTCTCAAGCATGACTCGTTGTTTTGTCAGTCATGACATGAATTCAAAGGGTTAATTGTGATTTTATGTCAGTGTTTAATGGTGATTGTGTTTTGTCATCAGGTGCATGGCCGGTGCTCATCGATGACTTTGTGGAATTCGCTCGGCCGATCGTGATGGCGGGAAAACACAAGACTCTCTAACGAGCGCTAATGAGGAGGCCAAGTCCCTCTACACTGACTTTTTCAATAAAAAACAAGAAATGCATTTAAAATACACAGAGAGAGTTTGTATATTGTGAGTCTGCTGCTGTTGAGATCAGCGGCGTCCCCGACTGAATTATATCTGATCTCAATTTAAAAAAATTGACCCTTATGACTGGTTTTGAGGTCCAAGGTCATCCTGCACCCACTAGTAAAAAATATAAAAAATAATATCTGGTGTCTGAATAATTTTTGGCTTGACTGTAAGTGTGAGAAGAACAGAATCCAGCTGGACTATAAGCTGCATAATCCGTCAGTAGATCTTGAGTGTTTGGTGTGTGTGGGACAGTAATGCACTGCTCTGAGGGTCCTGGAGCAGATGACAGACCCTCTTACCCTGGTGCCACAGCTGTTGCCTTTTTAGGAGACACCTGATTGCAGCTCAGCGCCGCCACACAAAGAGCTGCTGATAACGTCTGGAGCGAGTTCAGATGATGAAGCCATGCAGGAGTAAACAGAGGGCTGGGCTCACACACTCTCACTGTGTCCTCCGGCCCTTCAGGAGCTGGATCTGATGCTGTAGGATCTCCGGCACCTTCATGGAAAAGTTCCAGGCTGCGATGGTTCTCGGAGGAGTGGGAGACGCGCTGGGATACCCCAAGGGCCGGTGGGAAATGTGCATCTCAGGGAAACAGATCCAGCAGGAACTGGCCGCTCTCTGGGGCCTCGGGGCCCTGAAGCTGGACGCTGATAACTGGCCCCTCAGTGACGGAGTCCTGATGCACATGACAACTGCAGAGGCCCTGATCACTGGTGAGAGAGACTGAAACAAAACAATATACACTATGGTTCAAAAAGGTTTTTTTTTTTTTTAAGAAATTAATCCTTTTACTTATCAAGGATGCATTAAACTAATCAAAAGTGTCAGTAAAGACTTACAATGTCACAAAAGATTTACATTTCAGATCATGTGACACTGAAGACTGGAGTAATGATGCTGAAAATACAGCTGCGCATCACAGAAATACATTACAGTTTAACAGATATTCACATAGAAAAGAGTTATTTTAAATAGTAAAAATATTTCACAATATTACTGCTTTTGCTTTGGATCAAATAAATGCAGGCTTGGTGAGCAGAAGAGGTTTCTTTTGACTGGTAGTGTGTACAGGGTCTCAAGCATGACTCGTTGTTTTGTCAGTCATGACATGAATTCAAAGGGTTAATTGTGATTTTATGTCAGTGTTTAATGGTGATTGTGTTTTGTCATCAGGTGCATGGCCGGTGCTCATCGATGACTTTGTGGAATTCGCTCGGCCGATCGTGATGGCGGGAAAACACAAGACTCTCTAACGAGCGCTAATGAGGAGGCCAAGTCCCTCTACACTGACTTTTTCAATAAAAAACAAGAAATGCATTTAAAATACACAGAGAGAGTTTGTATATTGTGAGTCTGCTGCTGTTGAGATCAGCGGCGTCCCCGACTGAATTATATCTGAGACCCTGCAGCACAAAAGCAGTGTTAAGTCGCTGGGGTATATTTGTAGCAATAACATTGTATGCATTGTATGGGTCAAAATTATACATTTCTCTTTTATGCCAAAAATCATTAGGATATTAAGTGTTCCATGAGTTCCATGAAGATATTTTGTAAATTTCCTACCGTAAATATATCAAAACTTAATTTTTGATTAGTGTATCTCAGCCAAATATTATCCTATCCTAACAAACCATACATCAATGTTAAGCTTATTTATTCAGCTTTCAGCTGATGCATAAATCTCAATTTAAAAAAATTGACCCTTATGACTGGTTTTGAGGTCCAAGGTCATCCTGCACCCACTAGTAAAAAATATAAAAAATAATATCTGGTGTCTGAATAATTTTTGGCTTGACTGTAAGTGTGAGAAGAACAGAATCCAGCTGGACTATAAGCTGCATAATCCGTCAGTAGATCTTGAGTGTTTGGTGTGTGTGGGACAGTAATGCACTGCTCTGAGGGTCCTGGAGCAGATGACAGACCCTCTTACCCTGGTGCCACAGCTGTTGCCTTTTTAGGAGACACCTGATTGCAGCTCAGCGCCGCCACACAAAGAGCTGCTGATAACGTCTGGAGCGAGTTCAGATGATGAAGCCATGCAGGAGTAAACAGAGGGCTGGGCTCACACACTCTCACTGTGTCCTCCGGCCCTTCAGGAGCTGGATCTGATGCTGTAGGATCTCCGGCACCTTCATGGAAAAGTTCCAGGCTGCGATGGTTCTCGGAGGAGTGGGAGACGCGCTGGGATACCCCAAGGGCCGGTGGGAAATGTGCATCTCAGGGAAACAGATCCAGCAGGAACTGGCCGCTCTCTGGGGCCTCGGGGCCCTGAAGCTGGACGCTGATAACTGGCCCCTCAGTGACGGAGTCCTGATGCACATGACCACTGCAGAGGCGCTGATCACCGGTGAGGGAGACTGAAGCAAAACCATGTACATGAGGGTTCAAAACGTTTTTTTAAAAAAGAAATTAATACTTTTATTCATCAAGGATGCATTAAAATGATCAAAAGTGACAGTAAAGTCATTTATAATGTCATTAAAGATTTCTATTCAAATGCAGTTCTTTTGAACTTTCTATTCATCAAAGAATCTCATAATTTTGATTTATCTCATAATTATGACTTTTCATCTCATAAATAGCTTATCTTATAATATTGACTCTTTAATCTAATAATAGTTACTTTTCATCTCAATTTAGATTTTTTTTGTCTCATAGTTGACTTTGATCTCTTTTTGACTTATGTCACAACTGTGGCTTTTTATTTTATAATTAAGATGTTTCGTCTCATAATTATGACTTAGTGTTTAATAATTTTGACTTTTAAACCTCATATTTTTTTACATTTTATCTCATAATTGACTTTATCTCATAATTGTGATTTTTTATTTGATAATTAAGACATTTTATCTCATATTTCTTAATTTTAATCTTATAATTTTGACTTTTCCCTCAAAATTATGGTGTAGTATCTCATAATTTCCACTTATGAGATAAAAAGTAATATTCATGACATAAGTCAAAATTTAGATAGTACACCATATGAGAAAAATTTAAAATTGTGAAAAAAGTCATGATGATGAGATAAAAAAGTCCTTATTGTAAAATAAAAGGTCATAATTATGATTTTTTTCTTCTTTTTTTTTATCTCATAATTTTGCCTTTCCATCACATAATTATGACTTTGCATCTCATAATTTCAACTTTTTGTCATGATCGACTTTTCATCTCGATATTTCAAATAAATGCTGTTCTTTTGAACTTTTTAACTTCAGTAATGATGCTGAAAATTCAGCTTTGATCACAGAAATAAATTACAGTTTAATATAGATTCACATAGAAAACAGCTTTTTTTTAAATTGTAATAATATTTTACAATTTTTACTCTATTTTTTATCAAATAAATGCAGCCTTGGTGAGCAGAAGAGACTTTGATTGCGTATGTTAGTCAATAACATCAACCATTACTAATTTTTGCTCTTAATTCTGGGAAACTTTCCATTGTCATTTCAGAACACTGTGAGTGCATTAGTTCCATATCTATAAATGTACCACTGAAGTTCATGTGTAAGCTCTTTCCGCTTGTGTTTGCTCTCAGAATAGAGATGAATCCATGTGAAATCCCTCTGCTGGCCGCGGCGTCCCTCACTAACTCTCTGAAATGTGAATTGATGATAATACAGCGATCTATCTTTCCTCACACAGACGTGACACGGATGCTTTCCTCCACATGTCTCACACACACGTCCTGATAACAGACCCAGAATAGAGCTGCGGGTCACAGCCATCCGTTTGCACGCTAATGCTCCGTGACACACGCTAATCTCCGTGAGCTCGTAAATAACGGGAGCTTTAGCGAGGTCCCACAGAGCTGTAATCTGGCTTTTTGTCAACATTTCAACTTTTTACATCATTTCGACTTTGTCTTAATTATGACTTTTATCTCATATTTGAACTGTTTAATCTCATAATGACTTAGTATCATAATAGTGGCTTATCTCATAATTATGACTTTTTATATCCTAATAGTGACTTTTATCTCATAATTATGACTTTTTTGTCATAATTGTGACATTTTACTTTAACATTAGGAATTTTTATAATTATTACTTGGCATGTCTTAATTTTGACTGTGTGTGTGTTCAGATGTACAAGCGCTGGAGTTCAGAGGGTTGT